AAAGTAGCAGAACCTAATGAAATCTAAGATGAGTTATATATCTGAATTTCAAACAAAGATTTATAACAAGATCCAAATCTGAAACACAAATACAAACTCAAGAAAAGCAAAATCTCCTTGACAATCAGTGCTCTGGATCCATCACAGCTCCTCAAGAATCAATGGCTTAGTTGCTCATGTTGATGGGGGAAATCTGGCCAAATCTCCATGGCAAAATGCAAGAGAAGAGAAGAAGATGAAGAAGATGAATCTGGAAGTTGAGAGAATCTGGAGAAGTGAAGAAAAGAAGAGAATGAATGAGAATGCTGGAATTCAGTATTCAGATCCGTTTTTCTGAAGCTTCTGGATGTCCAGTTCTGTTTTTAAATTTTCCCCCCGCCTTATCACATCACTATCCACCATTTGAAGGCTTGTAATGTTGTATTTTGACATGTGAAACTTCCCTACCTTCAGCTATGCGTTTTACTAAAGCCCAGGACATGTGTCACTCTCTTGAAACTCACTGGCCATGGAGCTATGCGTTTTACTTAAAGTTTTTCCTCATAGAATGCTACACTAGACTACACATGATTCCAGCTCTTAACCAGATTCAAAACACTGCATTTTAACTCCTAATTCAAGATTTTTGGCTACATCTTTCTAGATTTTGTCCATTCTTCACCAATACTTCCAGAAGTAGAGAAAATCCCTTTCAATCCTGTAATGATGCATCAAATTCTCACAGTATCATTTCTTATCAAATATTGGAAATCTAAAGTTAATTCCACATGAAAGCATTTTAATTCAATGGGAAATCACATTATTTAGTTGATCAAAATGTGGTTCATCATTTGGATATGTAAACAAGGAGATACAAATTTTCAAATTTGAGGCTAGAAACTTGGAAGTTCCAGAGTTTACCAAATGAATAGTAAAGTTCAATGAATAACTGTATGAATTGGCAAGAGATAAGTCAAGTTTGATATTTTTTCCTTAAAGAGAATTGAAAAGGCTTTGAGTAGAATTTTAGAGCACCTCCATATAGTTTTTGTAGAGTTAGTTATGATTTTTTAAGGTTAGACATGTTATCTAGAAAAATGCACAGTGAACAGTACCTGAGGACTTAAAGGAAAATTTTAATTTTTGGGCCTACGTAAGGCTTCCGCATATTCAATTCACTTCCGAACGTGTAGTCTAAGGGGTAAAAGTAAGAATGTTTCAAACACAATTCCATTAAACAACTCTTTGTAAAACCCTATCCTTTAACCTTGAATTTAGGGTTTAGCTTCATTATTTTTTACATGATTCCCATAGGTTTTTCCTACAAAATTTTTCATGTAGAATCCATATTTGAATATAGATTCATCAAAATCCAACTTCTTCCTTCCTTTTTCAGTTTGGCCCAAAGGGTTCCCTAGGGTTCCAAAGATTCTAATTTCAATTTCAATGCTTCCAAACACATGTTCTCCACATATCCTTACACAAATTCAGCTTTTAAACTCACTGAAAGCATCAAAACAACAAAAATCAAACCCTAGAACAGCATAATCACCTTGACCGAATAGTGCCTCCCAATCACACATGTTAAAATCTTTCAAATAACAAGGTTTAATCATCATAAAACAACCATTTCCTATCCTTTAATCCATGTATCAACTTAGAAAATCAAATACTAGATAGGATGGTCATACTTTTACCTTGATTAAAGACTTGAATCACCTTGTTTTTTGCCTTGTTCTTTCTCTCTTCCTTCTCTTCTCCTGCTTGGCCAAAACCTTCTACTTCCTAAGCTCTCAAAACTGGAAAAAAATATGACCCAAGAGAAGAGGAGATGGTTATTATGAAACTACCCTAAGTCTTGATTATGTGGTAACCTAATTTACCATTGATTTTTACCATAGGACACTTGGCTCCATCTCTTCTCTTCTTCCCTTTTTCATGCACCATTTGTCCCCTTAGGTGCCTTTCCAATTGAATGAAGGTATCAGCTCATGAGACACATAAGCTCCGATGTGTAAAAATCTTCATATTTTATTCAAAGTTCCAATCTTCCAATTCTATCCTCCAACAAACTGTATTATTCCATTTAGGTCCTCACCCTCCTCAAATGGCACCATTTAGGTCAGAAAAATGGGGAAAAAATTGGCCCCACCATTCTTATGGTTATTACATTGTATAGTTTCACGATATCAGTTAAATTTTTCTTAGATCCTGTTAAATTTACTGTCTCTAAAAATTTACTTCCTTATTTTGATTAGGAGAGATTTCCCTAATTTTCTAAGATTTTATTTTACCCTATAACTTTTTGAATTGAATTTTTCCCTAAATCGGCCCTTTGATATAATTTGAGTTTTAAATAATTTAAAGGTAACCTCTATTTCTATAGAGGTTGGAAAAAATTTTCAAATTCATAATAACCTTTCAAATAATTTTTCTAATTTTTCCAAGAATTATTAAGGCCCCTATGTATTTTAAATAATTCAATTTGTTTAATTTTCCCCTTAATTAGCCAAAATTCTAGGAAAATACAGAAAATTTCAAAATAAATCATTTTCATCTTCCAAGCCTCAAATACTGTTCTGTACCCTTTATTCTATTTTTCATGATTTTATGGAAATTTTCTAGAATTTTGGGTATACTTTTCTACTCTGTTCATTATTGACCGCATATTTTGAAAATAACAAACTGGTCCCCAGTTTGGTTTTAGTTCAAAAGTTGTGTCATCTATTTGTTGGGTACTCTGCCTGACTCATGATCTATTTTATATTCCTCATTTTCAAGGTTAAAATTAATAGGATATGATATTTTTCCCCCTTAAAGTAAATTTCGTTCTCAAAATTTAAAAACTTAGCTCATTGAAATAGTTATGGATACTTACCTTTGAATTTGTCTTCCTTTTTCCATGTTGCTTCTTCCTGTGTCATATTCTTCCAGATCACTTTTACCAGCAGAATTGTCATATCTTGTTAAGTTTAACCCTAGAAATGAGGAATATAAATTAGGCCATGGGTGAAGTAGAATAGCTAATAGAGAGACGGCATAAATTTTGAATTGAGATCAGACCAGAACGGATTGTTATTTCTGGAATATCTGGTCAATATTGAACAGAATGGGAATATGGATTGAAAATTCCAGAAAATTTTCTAAAAATCATGAAAAGTAGAATAAATGGTATAGAATAGTATTTGAAGTTTGGAAGATAAAAATAGGATGAAAATAATTTATTTTAGAATTTTCTATATTTTCTTGGAATTTTGACTAATTAAAGGAAAATTGGTCAAATTGAATTATTTAAAATATATAGGTACGTCAATAATTCATGAAAAAATTATAAATATTATTTGAAGGATTATTATGAATTTTAAAATTGTTTTCAACCACCATAGATGTAGAGGTTAGCTTTAAATTATTTAAAGTTGGAAATTTTATCAGTAAAGGGCGGATTTCAGAGAAAATTCAATTGGATGAGTTATAGGCTACAATAAAATCTGAAAAAATTTAGGGAATCATTTCTCATTAATAGAAAGCTATTGATGCAAAGAAGTAAATTTTTGGAAATAGTGAATTCAATAGGATCCAAGAAAAATTCAACCGATTACGTGAAATTACATAGTGTGTTAACCTTAAACTTAGTTGTCACATCCCACCAATTTTAACCTTGAGAATTTGAATAATAAATTAGAAAAAGGGTCAAGTAGAGGTTTTGGAACATCTCTTGGGTTGAAATCTGACTCTTGTTCGTACTGATATTTTTAAAATTATTAGTCTAGGAAGAGCAAAATTAGAAAAATTTCAAAAAAAATGGTAAAAAGATAAATTAGAGGTTTTAGAACCTCATTTGAGGCCTTGGAGGTGGAAATGGTATGAAAATAAAATTACAGAATTTTATGTAGACAAAGGTTTTCAAAAAACCAATGAACAAAAAACCAGACCAGACACTGAACCGGTCTAGATAGTGGGTCAAGGGTTAATGGGTCAAACCAGGGTCAAACCAGTTATATTAAAATAATATAATTTAATTAGCAATGACAATAAAAATAACATTCATTAATAATAATCATTTAACAAAATACAAAAAACAACCAACGTGGTTTAAAGTTTAAACATTTAATTGTACCAAACTACCATTAACAAATATATTTTTTCATCACTATAGAAAATCAAAATCATCATTAAATTCATTGGCAGGACCAGGAATGGAGACATCAATAGTTGGAAGAGGAAAAGTAGAAGGAGTAGCAACATCATCTTGCAGAGGTGGAGGTTCAACAATATTCATATCATCATCACCACCTAAATAAGACAATAATAAAATGTCAATTAAGTGTAAATCAATATTAAAATAAAAATATTTATGACTTCTAAGAAACTAAGATGATAATACCTTCATTATCCCTCCCAGGAGTTGTCAAATTTGAAATGTCTTCATTGTTGAAAACACTTTCAAATGTCACCATATCTCTATCATCAAACTCTGGAACAGGATCTTCTTCAGTCACCTAAAAGTCCACCAAATCAATGTTTTCATAGTCAATAGGATCATAGCTTGCCTTCTGCTTCTTCAATATACTCCTGACAAATAAAATTTCGATTAGATGTAAATCTATATCAAAATAAAAGCAGCCATAATTTATAAAATTACCTATGCTTCAATCGCAAGTTATAGTTTGTGAAAACTAAATCATTTAGCCTCTTGTGCTCCAATCTATTTCTTCTTTTTGTATGAATGCATTCAAATAAACTCCAATTCCTTTCACAGCCAGAAGAAGAAGAAGTTTGACTAAGAATGCGCATCGCAACACGTTGCAACTCTGGCACTGAACATCCATAATATGTCCACCGAATCTAAATCATGAAAATATGAAATATAAAATTAGTGAATGACCATCAATATACTATTAACTATTAAATACAAACACTTACAAGGGTCAAGTTTCTGTGCTGCTTTTTGACATGATGGTCTACTAAAAGATTCTTTAGCTTCACGATAAGTAGTTGCTTATTTCATTACCAAGAAGCCATCAACCTCTTCGTCTGAAGTAAGACTCCACCACATCAATTAAAGCCATCATTAACTTTGACTTGATCGGGCAGTCTGGAGCATATGTGATTGTAGGATTCAGCAAATATGATGCTGCATGAAGATTAGTCTTCAAATGCTTATCCCATCGAGTTTGAATGATTGTTGTGTACAGCTTATACAAGTCCTTGTTCTTCTTAAACATCTCCTTAATTGCCATTTTTGCCCTTCGCATGCCTTCATAAACATAAGGCAATGATGGCTTCTCATTTGAATCAACAATTCTCAACAATTTTATAAGAGGAGATACAATTTTCACAACTTGATAACAATCATTCCAAAACCGATTGTCCAATATGATTGCACTGGAATTTTTTCCTGCTTTAGTCCTTGATAATTTGTGGTCCACAAAGTGATTATCAACAACTAAAGCCTGCAAGTCATTCTTGTGCATATATATCCTATGCAATGTAATAAATGTGGTAGCAAACCTTGTGGCACCAGGACGCACAATTTCTTTCCAAGTCGGTCTTTTCCTCAGCCATGATAAGAAAACCATATGATTATATGCAAATACAGTTATCTTTGATGCCTTTGATGCAAGGTTTGACACATGAGGCATGCTTGAAAAGTCTTTCAATACAAGATTCAAACAATGTGCAGCACAAGATGACCAATAAATACTTTTATACTTGTCTTTAATCAATCTACCACATGCTACATAGTTAGCTGCATTGTCAGTCACCACATGAACAATATTTTTAGGACCAATCCACTCAATGACTTCACAGAATAGTGTGAATAGAGTTTTGACATCTTTAACTAGATCTGATGTATCAACAGACTTCACAAATACCATACCAGGTGTAGAATACACTAAGAAGTTTATCAAAGTACACTGTCTAACATCAGTCCATCCATCAGCCATGAGTGTGCAACCATTGTTTTCCATTTAGCTTGATGGCTATCAATGAGTAACTGACATTCTTTTCTCCAGTCACTCAACAAGTTGGTTTTAAAATCATTAGCACTAGGAGCTTTAAACTCATGCCCTATTGAAGCAATGCCATCCACAGCTTTTTGAAACAAAGGACAATCAAACGCCTTAAACGGAATGCAGTTTACAATAGCCCATTCAGCAGTCAACATTTTCACATTATGCTTTGCTTCTTTAGTTGCTAATGCACTCTTAATGCCAGGTTGGGAATCAGGAGTTGTCCTAGGAGCAAAAAAATTGTCTATGCTCCCAAAAGCTTTCCTCTTCCTCACACTACTTGTAACATTTGGTGATTCAACATGAGTTTCTTTGACTTCCTCTTCTATGTTTTCAATAGTTTTCTTCTTTGACCATTCTTTTAAAGACTCTGCCATTCTATAACGTACATCATGTGGAACTTTTTTACAAGCAGCTATTTGACCAACAGTGCCAGCAAGATGTTGCTTCATCCTATTTATCCCACCTCCTCTATAACTATTAGTGCAAAAAAGACATGTATATATATATATATTTTGTGTTCCTTCTTTTTTGTATGCAATATGTGCCCATGCTGGATCAATTTTGGCACGTAATGAGGATATGGGTGTGGAGGTTTCGGTAGGGGGATTTGAAGATCCAGTATTAGGAGTCATGTTGTCATTTCCAGAACTTTGGTTATTTGAAATATCCATCACTGCTACTAAAAAAACAAATCAAAAGCTTAACACAACATTAATGATTAAACAATCAAGTTATTCAGTTTCAGATTTCATATTGAACAAAGTGGGGAATCGTCCATAATTTTAAAACCGAAAACATATTCAAACTTCACTACTTCAGTATATAACTATATACAATGACCACAATTTTAAACCAAACAAGCAATTCTAAACTAGAGTATCAAATTATTCCAAAGTACCAAATTAATGAAATTATTCCTTCGTGCAAACCAAACATAGAATATCCTCGAGCAAATACAAATCCATGGAATCCATTGATGGGTTCAGATTTCAGAATACAATTAATTTTCACAGAATATCCTCAAGCAGAAGCATAATTCAGATTCCATAATGGCAAAATCACACTAGAAAAATAATAGATGGCAGAGATTATCACCGTCACTTCCAAGTTCAAACGAAAATAGGTGAGTTTGCTGAGAGTGGCCGAGAGCAGAGACTGAGAGTTCAAACAAAAATTGGGAGTCTGTACTTGGGAGAACTAAGATCGGCAAGCACTCAGCCACTCACTAACAACTTAGATCAGCAATGACAGGGCAGGGAGCTTCAGGCGAGGCGATGACAGGGCACCGACCAGCTTTAGGCTAGGCAGGGGATGACGGTCGATGACCACATCGAGAGTGAGGGCAGTCAGGAGTGTGAGCTTCAGTGAGCACACGGTGGTGAGATTCAGTGAGCTGGGACAGAGGACGGGGCAGTGAGCACACGGCGACAAGATTCAGTGAGCTGGGACCGAGGATGGGGAAGTAAGCACACAACGGCTACGAGGGCGACCGAGGATGAGACGGAGATTGGAGACCAAATGAGGAAGAAGGAGACAGGGGTGCGGGGTCGAGCGAGGCTGCGATGCGATGCGAGGGCGAGCCGGTTTTGGATTCGGTTTGCATTTTTAAAAAAAAATAAAACGTCATCGTTTTTGGGCTCTGGAGGGGGCAAATCAGTGAACCAAATAAACCCCTAAATCGGCGATTTACCCGGTTTAACACTGATTCTTACCGGTTCAAACCTTGGCCGGTTCTTGCCTTAACCCAGACTGGACATCAAGTCGGTTCACTAGTTGAACCGGCTGGTCCGGTCTGGTTTTTTTTTCCATGCAAAAAACAGTAAAAAAATTAGCCCGAAATAATTATTTTAAATATACAGAGGCCTCAATAATTCCAGAAAAAATATGACAGAATTATTTAAGGATTTATTTGAGTTCATAAAATTATTTTTGGGCCCTAAAAGTGTCACACCTCCTTTAATATCCCATTATATGTTAATTGGAACCATTAGAATGTGTTTCGTAGCATTTCCGGATGAAAAATCTCAATTTCAAAATTTCACCTTTAATTCTATCCATGCATTGTTCATCTGAATTTGTGCCAAATTTTAAAATTCATAACTAATTCTAGAAAAATTGAAATAAGGTGGTTACAACTTTCACATGAAGCTTGCTAAGAGTTCTATAGAGGAAAAATATTTATTGGACTCAATTCCATCTAGAAAAACACCAGAAAATTCGACAAGTTGTACTGTTTATTTGGTCAATTTTTCAATTCAGTATTTTTGCCCCACTTTGGAAGGGCATAACTTTTGGCACAAAACTCCAAATTTTATAGTTTACCACTTGATTTAAAGATAAAATTGAGATCTATAAGCCTGTAAAATTTCATGCCTAAATTCCAACAATTGCTTATTATTTCATGTGCCACAAAATTAGCACTATTTAGGGAGATTTTATCCCCTAATTCCACTTTCTTTAATTCTTTTTCCTTCTTTTATCCACATCCTTTTGGCATTATACCATTCAAATTTCCAACACCAGGGCATGTCATTTAAACATAATTTACATCACATTAACATTCATACTCCATTACAAATTAACATTAAACTCATTAAAACATCACACAACTTTCCAAAATGTCATGAATTCTCTATTGCTCCTTCATCCCAAAACCATTTTCTTGCCCTTGCCATCGGATGAATCATTCCCTATTTGAGACATAATTTAACATAGGGGGAGTGAGATTTCAAAGAAATCTCAGTAGCTTATGAATTATAATTGTCATGTAAATCAAGCAAGTTCACATGTGACATGTTATATCATGCAAAAATATTCCCACACATAGGAAATCATATCCAATAGCATGCAAGGAGAGGAACATTAACATTTCCCATATTGGCATACCACAATGCAATTGGCCAAAGCATAAACCAATGTCATTCAATCAACCAAAAGCATAACACAAGTTCCTCCAACCCAAGTAATCAAGAAATCACATTAAACAAGCAAGATAAACAATCAAATTATAATTCAAAGCTACCTTAGAAATTCAAGGCATATGAAGAGGGACACATGGCATGAGCTGAAATTTAAGACATATGAAGAGGGACACATGTCCCCTTATGTGGAGGCAGAAAACAGCACCATTTTGGAGGGATTATGTCAGATCTTGAGCTCTATAAATACCCCCTAATTACACATAATTTGGCTAAAAATAAGAAAAAGAGGGAAATTTTTGTCCAATTAAAATCTCACCCTTAAATAGCACATAAAACCTTCCAAATCAAGGGAAAATCATCAAGCTTCAAGCAAGGATCCATTAAAGTATGTCTAAGCATGATTTTGGCTTGATTTAATGGTTGTTTTGGTTGAAATTTCATGACAAATCCTAACCATGAATATGAGCTTGAAATAGCATTTTAATTGATGTTTAAATTGACCTTTGGAAGAAAACCAAAGTTAGGGTTTAATGCGTACATTTTTATTAACTCAAGTTCTTGAAATTAGAGATTGTTTCAATGTGCTGTGATGATTCTAATGAATTTAAAAGGTGTTTTTGTGTAGGGAAACACCAAGAAAAAGTGTTTAAAATTATTGGAATCAAAAATGAAAATTTTGGACCCTAAACCTATCCTATTCAGCCAAATCAGTTTGAAGGGGGAGGAGTGTGATTTTGTTAAATCTGATTTGATATTTGGATTCTACATGAAAAATTGTGTAGGAATGACCCAAGAGATAGGTTGAAACAAAAATGAAATAATTATGTCAAAAATCAAAGAATAAAGGGTTTAAATGAGTTTATTGTTGAGCAATGGTGTTTATGCTTGGATTATTGGTAATATGGAATGTGTTTATGCTTGAATTGATGGACATTGTGCAAGAAAACAAAGAGGAGCACCAAAAACCTAAGGAGGCCGAATTACATACCTAATTAAGAGATAGCATTGAACTCATAATTTGATTACTTTCTTGCTTGCCTAAATGTGTTTATGTTACTTGATTTATGTTGCCATGATGTGATTGAGCAAGCTATGTGATTGCATGTGAATTTCTAGGTCAAACGTGCCTTGGTAATATGTAGTGTGGAATGGCATAATGGTTGATGTATGGCTCTCTTTTCATGGCAAATGTAATGCATATGAAATGTTGCATGATAACTTTACTTTTAATGTAACATGTCACATTTTGCATAGCATAATAAGCATGATAATTGTGACTTATTGCCACTGAGACTTCTATAAAATCTCATTCTTCTCTATGTATAACAACTAATAAGACTCTCAAGTGGTGTGACCAAGGACAAGGAGGTGATATTTCCATGAAGGAAACATGTTATAGAATTATATTGAATTTATGTTGAACATTATGTACAAGCTTTGTAATATTTATGACTATGTGTTGATGACTTGTAAGGGTTGTAAATTATGAAGAATAACTTATTATATGCTCTAATATATGGTTGAACTATGTTGGAATGGTTGTGGTTTCATTTGGTTAAGTTTTGGCATGAAAAGGATAAAAGTTGTCTTTTTAAGGACAAAGTTTAACCATACAAAAATTTAAGCAAATGATGGAGTTTGGAGCTAAAACTTAACAGTCTAATAGATCATATTGTTAGTTTCAAAACAAGTGGTATTTCATAAAATTTAGACTTTACAAAAAGTTATTCCCTTTCGAAGTTGGGCATAAATTCTAAAAAATTAAAAAAATGACCAAATGAAGAGTACATGTTGAGTGAAAACTGGGCACAGCTAGATTCATACTCTATTTTTCATTAAAGAGCTCATTGCAAGCTTCAAGTAGGACTTGGAGCCATATTATTTCAATATTTTTAGAATTAGTTATAATTTTTCAAAATTGGGAGAAATTAAGGTTACAAT